GACAGAGGAAAGCTATTAGGACTCCTGCCTGCAAGTGGAATGGGGAGGAGGAGTAGCTGGTCAAGGTCAGGTGATTGCAATGTGTATGCACAGGTAGATAGCACAGGTGTGGAGTGTTATGGAACCACGAAGGCAGGCCACTGACTCCAGACGTTGGAGGCAGGGAAAGTATGCTAGATAATGTAATATTTAGGCTAATATTTGAAGAAGAAGGATTAGCTGGGCAGTCAGACAAATTAATTAAATCTGTTAACACATCATTGTGGAGCCCCAGAACTGCAGACTTATTTTTCCCCCAGAAGCTGCATTACAATCTATTATTTCATACCCCAGCTATCGTTAGGATAACTGAATGTGTGTGTGTGTGTGTGTGTGTGTCTCTCTCACACACACACACACACACATGCACACACACACACACACACACTGTTGTTGTGGATTGTTCCTTCAAAAATTTTTTCTAGGCAGGGTGTGGTGGCTCACGCCTGTAATCCTAGCACTCTCAGAGGCCTAGGCGAGAGGATCATTTGAGCTCAGGAGTTTGAGACCAGCCTGAGCAAGAGCGAGACCATGTCTCTACTAAAAATAGAAAGAAATTGGCTGGACAACTAAAAATAATATATATATATATGTGTATATATGTGTGTGTGTGTGTGTGTGTGTGTGTGTGTAAATTAGCTGGGCATGGTGGCGCATGCCTGTAGTCCCAGCTACTCGGGAGGCTGAGGCAGGAGGACGCTTGAGCCCAGGATTTGGAGGTTGGTGTGAGCTAGACTAACCCAGGCAACAGAGTGAGACTCTGTCTCAAAAAAAAATTTTTTTTTCTATTGTTTATAAACATTCTTTGAAGAGTTAGAACACTCATTTTTACCTATCTGGCAAATTCCAACATGACCGAATTGAGCTAAAACTGAGGGAGAATTTATTTTCTGCTTTCTGGGTAATTGCCATTTTAACTACTGGATGAATGATCAGTGAAAGGCTCTAGAAGCTGGTGTGTTCATCAGGCCTTTAAGTCTTCTAATTAGGGATTCTTTCATTAAGTCCACACAAAAGGAAGTGAGTGTGCTAAACGAGAGGCCAGTTAAGCCAATGTAGACTGTTTGGACCACATTCTTCTTAAAAATGTTTTAAGCCTTTGACAATCCAAGGTTTCCTATTCAAAGAATTAATTTTAAATGAAGGGAAGTATATACATAAAACATGAATGAGTGTTTGAGATATTTATATTAAGGTTGGGAAGAATTAATTTGAATAGTATTTAGCATAAATCTGCTGTTACAGAGGCAGCAAAAAGAAAAGAGGATTTTATTTAACTCCCTTTGAAATTTCATCTGTTTACCTCAGCATTTTTTAAATTATCTGACTCTTAGTTTGTTCTTGATCATATTTCCAAGATTTTATTTACCCTTGCAGTTAAGGACTTGAGATCTGTTGTGGAATATTGAGACAAACAGAAAATGTTTTGGTTACACACTTGTTTCCCCGAAGTTATTATTTTTGTAAAAACAACATAGGTTTTCTTTAATTGAAAAAGTTATACTAGGAAAATAAGAGGAAATAAAAATTATTCAGAATACTCACTCCCAGAAATAGCCATCATTGTTTGCCAGACATCATTCTAGACATATATTTCTATAGTAAGAGAAGGAGAGGAATTAAAAGAATATAAAATAAAATGTGTGTCACATATTATCTTTAGGTAAGAGGTATAAAATTTAATTTAATTTGAATTTATTAACGAATAAAACTGAAGTGAAACTAAATCAGTGAACTTGATATTTTCTCAAAATAAATTATCAGAAGATGTTTCTAAAGTGAAGAAAAAAGATTATGAGAAACATTGAGATCGTAGTCATTTTAAGTATATACATTTTAACTTTTGATGGTTTGTTATGACTCCTTGCTATGAAAAGTAAAGAAATTGGCACTTTGAGAATTCCTCCCTCGTCTTCTTCCCTCTCCCACAGCCTCCACTCCCTCTGTTAATGGTAAACCTTAATTCTCATATTTGGTTCTATACACAACTAATATGGTTGCTTAATCTACTTCTGTATCTAACTGGATCCCAACTGAACCCTAGCCTCTTAATCTTGGCTTCTTTACTGTTAGTTTTCATTTGCTTTCTGTTGGGTGAATTTCATTGCCAGCTCATGTCTTGAGTTCTTGCATGTTCAAGAATGTATGGTTCAGGGCAGGCGCGGTGGCTCACACCTGTAATCCTAGCACTCTGGGAGGCCAAGGTACATGGATCGCTTAAAGTCAGGAGTTCGAAACCAGCCTGAGCAAGAGTGAGACCCTGTCTCTACTAAAAAAAAAATAGAAAGAAATTAATTGGCCAACTAAAAATATGTAGAAAAAATTAGCTGGGCATGGTGGCGCATGCCTGTATTACCAGCTACTTGGAAGGCTGAGGCAGAAGGATTGCTCGAACCCAGGAGTTTGAGGTTGCTGTGAGCTAGGCTGACACCATGGCACTCTAGGCCAGGAAACAAAGTGAAACTCTGTCAAAAAAAGAAAAATGTATGGTTCGGATAGTTAAGAGAGAAATTGACATTTAGGATCACCTGGGGATTCAGATATCTCTCCTCCTCTGACTCAGGACTCAGATTAGCCTAGGATTTTTCCTTAATCAACCATCTTATGGTCTCTTACCAGCATTGAGATCAGGGGTCCTCAAACTTTTTAAACAGGGGGCCAATTCACTGTCCCTCAGACTATTGGAGGGCCAGACTATAGTTTAAAAAAAACTATGAACAAATTCCTATGCACACTGCCCATATCTTATTTTGAAATAAAAAAACAAACGGGCAAAAACACCCGCATGTGGCCCGAGGGCCGTAGTTTGAGGATGCCTGATAGATATTTATCATTTTCTTTACCAGTTTCTCCTCAACCTCCTTCTGAGAAAGCTCCTTAAACCAGTTACCCTTTTCACATTTAAAGTCACCTTTCACAATGTTAAGTCCCCAGCTCCTCCCCCAGTGGTATTAGGACTGCCAGTAAGTAGCTGGTTGAGTTTGTATTATATCTTAGAATTGGAACATTCTAGGTGTGGGACATGTGTGACTTTTGGGATATTAGCTTGTAAGGACCTTTTCCAGTGACAATTACAACTGTAAAAACAAAAATCAATGTAGTAGAAGAAAACAATGAATAGAAAAAAATTGAAGTCAGAATTGAATATAATTGGACTTTAAATTTTATGGCTACCTATGAATATATAATTCATAAATCCCCAAATTTTCTTAATCCCAATTTCAATTATTCTATGTTCATTTGGATAACAAATTTATAAACTGTGGCCTCTTTATGTGCCAGCGAGGGGGATAAAGTTAGGGATTATCATTCAAGGATTAACATCCTTTGTCACACAATGAATTCCTCTAGTGGAGTTGTAACTGAAAGCTCTTTTGAGGTCTGCTAAATCTTTACCTTTGCAGCTTCTGTGTTAATTTCTCTGCAGGACTTTCCTTATTCAAATCACCTGCTGCCGTGATTTCCCTTTTACTAAACACTCAACAACATCAGGTCTTCAGAAGCAGATTCCTCCAACCCAACATTGCAGGAAGAACTTGATATAGTCTAATCAAATCTTCCTATAAGGCTGAGATGTGAATTACCTTTTTTTTTTTTTTTTTTTTGAGACAGAGTCTCACTTTGTTGCCCAGGCTAGAGTGAGTGCCATGGCGTCAGCCTAGCTCACAGCAACCTCAATCTCCTGGGCTCAAGCAATCCTGCTGCCTCAGCCTCCCAAGTAGCTGGGACTACAGGCATGTGCCACCATGCCTGGCTGATTTTTTCTCTATATATTAGTTGGCCAATTAATTTCTTTCTATTTATAGTAGAGACGGGGTCTCTCTCTTGCTCAGGCTGGTTTCGAACTCCTGACCTCGAGTAATCCGCCCGCCTTGGCCTCCCAGAGTGCTAGGATTACAGGCGTGAGCCACCACGCCTGGCCTGAATTACCTTTTTATAAAATGATAAAAATAGTCAATCTCTCTTGGGGATTATAAAACAAGATCTCTGTCAGGCCTTCAGTTTCACAGTCCTTTGATTGGGAATGTATCTTATACATAAGATAATTTTAGGTGTGCATGATAGTTATAAAATTTTTAATAGCCCTGCTTTTACTTATTGTGTATTAGAAGTATGTATCTAACAACGTAGTAATGATACAAGGATTCATTTTTAATGTAGGTAAAAAGTGAACTCATTTAAAGAAAATATAAAATAAAAAACAGCCTATGGATGATATGCAGATATGGAAAAAAATTGTGAGGATCATGGGCAAGTGGCTATAAGTTTCTAAAACAGGAAAATGTGGAAATCAGAAATACACAAATGTGACAAAAATTTGCACAAATGTTCAATAGGAGAACTTGGAAATAGGGGAATTGGGAAAGAGTGGAATATGGAAGTCAGAAATCTATTTAAATTATGCTCATTACAAACTTGGATTTTTCTTTATTATTAAAATCTACAGTGCAGTGGTTCTCCATCTGTTATCCACCAAGACATACTTAACGGCTTTCATTCCCACCATGCGGTCTCATGGAGATATCAACTCCCATGCCCTTTCTGTAACTCCACCTCTTTCTCTAGAAAGTATTAGTATTTGGGAAGGCAAACAAGTGAAAAACATAATAACAGAACCTTTATTTCACGCTAACCCATTCTTCAAAGAGTATTTACAAATGGATACTTTATGACTTCCAGCTTAGTGTTGGGGAAAAAAAAAACAAATGGATACTTTAACTTTTTTGTGACACATTTCAAATTTAAATTTGGTACTTTAATTTTTACTGAGGGACAATTTTTAGCACACCCCATGATTGCCACTTGCCAGGGTGTCTGTGTACTTGAGAAGCAGTGGCCTCAAAAACTAGTTGGGGTCTGAAATGTCACATGCAGAGGCTCTGTGGGGGAATTTGTGCTGTCAGACTGTGTTCCTTATCGCCTCTACCCTAATAATTCCCCTTTCTCTTTAACACATGCAGACTGTTGGGCGGGAACTGCTGCTGCACCTGATTGACTATCTCGTGACCAATGACGGGAAAGACCCTGACATCACAAATCTGATCAGCAGTACCCGGATCCACATCATGCCTTCCATGAACCCAGATGGATTTGAAGCTGTCAAAAAGCCTGACTGTTATTACAGTAACGGGAGGTAAAGATGGGCTGATCTATCTTTATTTACAAACAAAACAACTCTACCCTGGGCGATAGAGCAAGACCATCTCTACCAAAAATAAAAAACTCATCCAGGCGTGGTGGCACGCACCTGTGGTCCCAGCTACTCAGGAGGCTGAAGCAGAGGGATCATTTTTAAGCCCAGGAATACAAGGCTGCAGTGAGCTATGATCACACCACTGCACTCCAGCCTGAGTAACAGAGTGAGACCCTGTCTCTAAAACAATAAGTAAATAAAATAAAAACAAAACAGCACAAAGGCTCCTATCAGGCACCTCTTGGCCCCAGCAAGAGGACTTACGTAATAGTGCAAGACCTCAGAGCCTGTGTCGTGTTGCTGATGAGCTGCAGATGCTCAGGGCTGCCCATGGCTTGTGGGCTGGACTGGAAAATCCTGAATAAGGCTGCTTGGCCCCTGTACCCCGCCTTGCCACTCACAGCGCCCTGCCCCTGCTGCAGCCCCTCCGGTTGCCTTCACCTCCCGGAACTCCAGGTGCGCGGGCCATTTCCCACTCCCTCCCACTGCTAAAGTAATGTGTCCTCAAAGACCCCTTCCCCGCCCCATCGTAATCCAGGTCCCCAGATCACCTGGCACTTTACCTTCTTTACCTGCACTTTACCTACTCTCAGATCACCTGGCACTTTACCTTCATAGCATGATTTTTAATGTCTAATTTCTTATTTAACGACTCTCACCCCACTAAACTGCAAGCTACCTGACGGCAGTAATTCTGTCCCTTGCATGGGTGTTAGATCCCCAGCGCTACCATGGTACCCGGGCCCTTGATAATCTCTCGTTGATGATTAAGCCAGTAGTCCAAGAACTAACCACAAAGAAGAACGAATCTTGAAGTAGTTCTGATTTAGACAGTTTATTTTGTTTCAAGCTGCCTTGGGAGGTTTGGAATTTCTCAAATGTCTAATATACATTTATAATTTATACAATTTATAAATTTTGTTTGCTTTGCCCAAAAATAAATAAATGAAATCTAACCACTGGATTCCCCTGAATGTTAAGTTTTTCTAGCCTATTTAAACAAGGCCATTCTACTTTTCAGAAAGACATTTGTATGAAGTAGTGTGTTTACTGTTGTTTCTCTTACCAGTTGCTATGTAACAAACCACCCCAAAATTTGGTGACTTAAAACAACAGGCTTTTTGTTGACTGTCGATTGTGTAAGGCAGGAATTTGGGGCAGGCAGAGTAGGGATGGCTAAACTCTATGCCCCACATCTGGGGGCCTCAGCTCGAGTCTGTCTGAGACAACTAGCCTGGCCTTGTGTCTGGAGTCCCAGATCTGGCTGCCACCTGGCTCCCTCATTTCTCCATGGACTCTTCTCTCCACATGGACTCTCCACGTGGCTACCACTGGGGTCTCAGGATTCTAAAAGGGAGTGTTCTAAGAGCAAAGTCCCCAAATGCAAACACTTATCAAACCTCTGCTTGCATCATAATAGCTAATGTCTCACTGGGGAGAGCAAGTCACATGGGAGGGGATGACAGAGGATGTGAATGCTAGGGGTGGTTCACTGGAGGCCACCAAGCCAACCATCCTCCACACCTGCATTCACATTTGCAACAACAGCTGGAGCCAAAACAAGGGTCTGTATGGTGTGAGAAGTCACTCCCTGATACACCATTGATAACCCTAAAAAATTCTTTCTTTTAAAGGGAAAATCGTAACAACTATGATCTGAATAGAAATTTCCCCGATGCTTTTGTGCTCAATGATGTCTCAAGGCAGCCTGAAACTGTGGCAGTCATGCAGTGGCTGAAAACGGAGACATTTGTCCTCTCTGCAAACCTGCACGGTGGGGCCCTTGTGGCCAGTTACCCATTTGACAACGGTGTTCAAGGTAAGCAAGCGCAGCCCAGCGCTGGCTTCCCAAGTCCAGAGTGAGCTGCCACTCTCTGCCCTGAATGGGGATAAACTCTTGCCCCACTGGCCTTCTCTGGCAGGGGTAGAAAGAGCCTCATGTTCCCAACCCTGAGCTGCCCTACCTATAATTCTTAAACAGTAGATGAGCAGTGTGGCTGAAATGACAACACACAGCTTGATTTATATCAGTGAAATAGTGAAATCGGATTTAGGTTATCTCACAAGAGGCAACATGGCTGAAAGAAAATAAAGCTAGAACAACTCACCTTTCCAGTTATATGAACAATGATTGCTGGCTCCTCTTAGAACTCTGTGGGATGAGGTATGACCAAGGACTTAAAATATTAAATGAAGTGGCTTCATTTAATCCGTACGGTACCTAAGGAGAATTTACCAACCTCCAGAAATTAGCAAGAGTGACTAAGAAGATATTTAATTTTTAAGCTGATTCAGGAGGAGTTTGGATATGTACAGGTTGAGTGTCCTTAATCTGAAAATCCAAAATCTGAAATGCTTCAAAATCCAAAACTCTTTGAGCACTGACATGACACTCAAAGGAAATGCTTACTGGACCATTTTAGATTTTTGGATTAGGGATGCTCAACTGGTTAAGTATAATGCAAGTATTCCAAAATCTGAAAGAAAAAAAAAAATCCCAAATCTGAAACATTTCTGGTCAGTCCCAAGCATTTTGGATAAAGTAAATTCAACCTGTATATGACCTATTCTGTGAACTGCCATCTTGCATGTGTCATTAAAAAGTAGGAAGAGGAAGCATTCATGGAAATAGGTAGAGGATTTCTTTCCAGGGAAATGAGAGCATTTGTGTGCAATGTGATGATGTATTTGCTAATGGGATATTTGTGTTTCCTCTCACTCTAAAGTCAAATGAAAGGTCTTGGCTTGTTTCTCAAATACAGCCACTGGGACATTATTCTCCCGAAGTTTAACTCCTGATGATGATGTTTTTCAATATCTCGCATATACCTACGCCTCAAGAAACATCAACATGAAGAAAGGAGATCAGTGTAAAAATAAAGTGAAATTTCCTAATGGTATTACAAATGGATATTCTTGGTATCCAATCCAAGGTGAGTTTCTCTTCATTTCTTCCATTCTCCTTTATTGCCTTCACTCAGAGGTGCCAGTTGACCCAGCAGTTGTCAAAAGATCTTTGGGCACAATGCAGTCTCTTCACTTGTGTCCCCATCAGCTAAGTATCACAAGAGCAGTGGAGGTGACCGATAGTTTGAGAAATGCTCAGACATGTTCCTCACGGCCAAGGGCCTCCTTCATTCATTCAAATGCTTATTCAGCATCTGCCTACTATGAGCCAGGAACCGTGCCAAGACAGATGAATGAGACACAGAAACCTCTATTAAACTTGAGACCTTGCTCTCAAGTAAGTAGAGGAGAAAGACATGTAAATAAATACAGTCCTGTGATGCTTTAACAATGGGGATATATTCGGAGAAATGCATTGTTAGTGATTTTGTCATTGAGTGAACATCAGAGTGCACTTACACAAACCTAGATGGTCCGGCCTACTCCACACCTGGCTATAGGGTATAGCCCATTGCTCCAATCACCTTTGCCTACGCAGTTCATTGTTAATGTGGTGCATGACTGTAATTGTGATAGCAGTGTAATTAGAAGAAAAATAGAGATTTAAGAAAGGTACAGTGTATCACAGGGGTATAAAGCCAAAATACAACACAGAGCCAAGAAGACCTTGGAGAAAATTACTGCTATAGCCCACCCAACAGGGATAGTTGCTACTTAGAGCCAGATGATTATTGCCATGCAGCCATGGGGAACCAACATTGTCAGATCTTCCAGTTCGTAAAAGAAGCTGGATTTGTACATGAAATGTCATGATTTTAAAGCCGTTTTGCAGGCTGAACAAAAGAGCTCTTCAGGCAGGATACAGCAGGAGGAGGGTCCCCAGTTTCCCAGCCTTGGAATAGAATGGTCAGGTACTGGAAGGCTGAGATTGCCATGTAGGGAACATGGAAGGAGAGAGATTCTTATCAGAAGGAATAATATAAACAGAAGCACAGGGGCAGGAGGCACCTAGGATAGAAGGGCAAGAGAGGAGACAGCGGGCTGGGCTGCATTTCCATTGCCCCGTGGAAAGCATTCCCTTCCAGACTGGTTGGCCTGACCCTGCCAACAGCAGACTGCAGGCTGTGTTTCTGCATGCAGGCCACTTCCAAAAGCACCTTCCCCATCATCACTTCGGATGCACAGGCTGTCAAGTAATCTTGCACAAGTTGATATGGTGCTTTTGTGCCTGGGCGGCTCCCTGCCAGTGTTGCAGGTAATGTAAATAAACATAGACCACCAGTGACAGGCAGCCGATATAGCTGGACACCACAGCATCTCAAACCTCCCTCTGTTTGGCCAAGACACAGCCCCAGACCCACACTTAGGACTCCAGCATAGTCCCTGGTCTCCACTCTTCTTAGCTAGGAAAAGCCCCCTTCTGCCCAGTGGCAGAGCTGTCCTTATGTTCACTGTCTGTAACTTTCAAGACAAATCCAGATGTGGAGGAAATTAGCTAGGAACAGTTGCTGCTGGGAATTGTTCCCAAGTGTGCCTGTGAGTGAGCTGTGTATTCTTCTCAGACAAAAAAGCAGGCAAAGCCAGCTGCCTTGAGGAGCCTAGAGCACAGTGTCTGGCCCAGGCTGCATGTTTTGTTTCTAGGCCCAGCTGGCCTTCTAGAACTGTGTACACTGTCCACACTTGGCATTCTCAATCCTGGTGACTTTTCCAGGGATCCATAATGCACACCATTTTGCCACTTACGTTCTTTTTATTTATTTATTTTTTGAGACAGAGTCTCACTCTGTCGCCCTGCAGTGGCATCATCATAGGTCACTGCAGCCTCAAACTCCTGGACTCAAGGGATTTTCCGGCCTCAGCCTCCCGATTAGCTGTGACTACAAGTGCACGCCACCATGCCCAGCTAAGTTTTTCTATTTGTAGTAAAGACGGGGTCTCGCTTTTGCTCAGTTTGGTCTTGAACTCCTGACTTCAAGAAATCCTCCTGCCTTGACCTCCCAGGGTGCTAGGATTACAGGCGTGAGCCACCGCACCCAGCCTGCCTCTTTCTTCTTTCTATGTGAAACATATTTATCCAGCCACAGGCTTTGTTTTTTTTTCTCTCTTCCTTTTCCTTCTATTTTTTTGGTAAAAATGAGGTCAGAGAGAAATACAAAACCAGTATGGTAAGTAAAGGAAATGGAACAGAGAAATTCTTCCTGGTTGGAATCAGGCCTACATATAGATTATTTAATATTTAAATAATATTTTGATATGATAATTTGACCATTTTCTTAGCAATAATATTGTCTTCTCCTTCAGTACTTCCCAAAGACCCTGATGGAATTGAGAAAACATATTTTCTTGGGCAGATTTCAAGTGTAACAAATTAAAATCTGTCAGAAACTACTTCCTTAAAGGTTAACGAATTTCATCAAATCCAGGAAGCTATTGATTGCAACACCCAACGTATCGCTGAAAAAAAGTTTTCAGTTAAAGTAAAAACATGATATTTTTAAGCCATAAACTTTAAGACACATCTCAATTCAGAGACATTAAAATATGAAAAGTTTTACATCTTAGAAAATATGAAATGGGCTGGGCGCGGTGGCTCACGCCTATAATCCTAACACTCTGGGAGGCAGAGGCCGGAGGATTGCTCGAGGTCAGGAGTTCAAAACCAGCCTGAGCAAGAGCGAGACCCTGTCTCTACTGTAAATAGAAAGAAATTAATTGGCCAACTAATATATAGAGAAAAAATTAGCCGGGCATGGCGGCGCATGCCTGTAGTCCCAGCTACTCGGGAGGCTGAGGCAGCAGGATTGCTTGAGCCCAGGAGATTGATGTTGCTGTGAGCTAGGCTGACGCCAGGTTCTCCTCACAAGGAGACGTCTAAAAGAAGGAGAAGGAAGAGGAAGGGAGGAGGGAGGAGGGAGGGAGGGAAGAAGGAGAAGAGGAAGAGAGAGGAAGAGAAAGGAAGGAAGAAGGAAAGAAGAAGAAAGAAGAAAAGAAGAAAAGAAAGAAGAAGAAGAGAAGAAGAAAGAAAGAAAGAAAGAAAGAAAGAAAGAAGAAAGAAAGAAGAAGAAAGAAAATGATTATTGCAAGTGGGGGTGCGGAGGTAAGAACTGGAAAGCAAGCATGAGCTGTGGCAATCCAAGAAGCCACGAGGGGCTGGGCCTTCTATCCCCTAGAGTCAGCAGCCACCCTTCTTCCGCCTTCAGGAGCCCTTTGGCGTGATGGGTGAGGGCACAGGGGCTCGGGCAAGGTCACCGGTGTGCCAGTCTCCACCACGCACTGGCTGGAATCCCTGGGTACATTTCTTACATCTGTGATCACAGACCGGGCGTGGTGGCTCACACCTGTAATCGGGGATGCAGAGGTGTAAGGATCGCTTGAGGTCAGGAGTTCGAGACCAGCCTCAGCAAGAGTGAAACCTCATCTCTACTAAAAAAATAGAAATTTGCCAGCCAACTAAAAGCTAGAAAACATTAGCCAGGCGTGGGGCCGCACACCTGTAGTCCCAGTTACTCAGGAGGCTGAGGTGGGTGGATCACTTGAGCCCAGGAGTTTGAGGTTGCTGTGAGCTAGGCTGACGCCATGGCACTCTAGCCTGGGCAACAGAGCGAGACTCTGTCTCAAAACAAAACAAAACCACAAAACATCTGTGATCACATTTCCTCATCTGTAAAGAAGGGGTAATACTTGCTGTCAGGATTAAATGAGTTGATACAAAGCACTTGGAAAAGTACCTAGCAATAGTGAACACTCAGTAAATGTTGGCCATTATTAGTCCCCCAAATTAGTGAAAAATTAGCTTTACATAATAAGTGTACTTATAAATGGTTTGTAGAAATGCTTTTAAAGAAATCTTATTCTAGCTTATAGCCATTTAAAATGTAATTTAAAGAAGAGATGTAATTTAAGGAATCCTTTTTGTAATGTAGGATTTCAAAAAAATACAAATAAAAAGGGACCCTTCCCTCACCCCTCACATAACTTTGATGCACAGTTAAACTGTCGGCTCTGACCCAGTTATCCATATGGGACTAGTTAGCATTGCCCGGTCATGCCTGGGTAGTAAAATGTCAAGCCCTGATTCTACACACTAATATGTCAGATTCATCTTTTCCTGTTTACATGTACTTTCCCTGCAACTGTCTGATTCACTTGTCCCCAAGGTATGTGATACTTGACTCTGCTCCAATTTTAGACCTTAACAAAAATTAAATATGCTTATGTTTAGGAGGAATGCAAGATTACAACTACATCTGGGCCCAGTGTTTTGAAATCACGCTGGAGCTGTCGTGCTGCAAATACCCTCGTGAGGAGAAGCTTCCATCTTTCTGGAATAGTAACAAAGCCTCGCTCATTGAATATATGAAACAGGTGCACCTAGGTTTGTAAGGTTTTCTTATTAATTCTTGTTAATAGTACAAAATACAGCACCTAGCAAGAACTCTGGGTTAAGCAAATGCAAGCCTCTATTTATGTTTTCTAGGCACAGCCTCATTTTCGGTACTGGAACTGATGGTTAAGAACTGTCTCTGCATGAATGTCTGCAATGTGTGAGAAAGGCAGTGCCTATCTGTTCATAGAAGGGAAAGTGTGATGCGTGTTACCTTAACATGGGGATGTACGAATCCAGAGTATCCCTAATGTTACAAGTTGAGTGATCTGGAAATCTGACAAAAGATTAGGAAAACAGGATGCTATACTCTGTCACATCATTTCCCATTTAGAAAAAAGCCATGTTTACTTGTCACTCGCCATGTAATCAAGGACTCTGGAAACATCAGATATACCGTTTTGCATTTTTTCCAGAATGGGGTGATAGCCTAACACCATTGGTTTCAGCCTCTCACACCTTTGAACTCTACCAAATGTCCTGGCGCTAGGAATCTTCTCAGCCTGTTTTCTGAAGGCTGCCTGGCCCTTATCACAGACGGACAAACTAAATGTGGCAAAAGAGTGGTAGCTCTCAAACACTGCGTGCAGTCACTGGAGGGCTTGTTAAAACAGATTGCCCCAAGCAAAAAATAAAATAAATACAACAGATTGCCCCAGCAAAAAAATAAAATAAAATAAAATAAAATAAAATAAAATAAAATAAAATAAAATAAAATAAAATAAAATAAAATAAAATAATAAAATAAAATAAAATAAAATAAAATACAGATTGCCCCAGCCCAGAGTTTCTGATTTAGTGGGTTTTGAATTGTCAGCATCTTCCCAGGTGCTGCTGATGCCGCTGGCCCAGGCGCTACGCCTAGAAACCACTGCACTAGAGAAACACACCACTTGTGATGACGATGGAATGCCCCTCAGGTCACCTTTGTTAACCAGTCTGTCTCTCTGGGCAGGGTGTGGAGGCTCTTCTGTATGGCAGCGTTAATGTCATCTTTCCCCATTCAGGATGGCTTGGCAGGGGAAACACATCAAGAATTGGCACAATAGTTATGCCCCCACATCAAGCCAAGGTGGAGGCTGTGTGTGTGTGTGTGTGTGTGTGTAAGTGTGTGCGTGCACACGTACATATTTAGGTTTGCTGCATGGGCCTACTGCATAATGGCATCATTTCGGGAATTTTCTGCATAATTCAAACCAAAGCTTTCCACCTGCTAAAAAGGAGATGGAGAAGGATGAGAGAGGGAAGCACAGGCCAGAGGCTGAGTCTGGAAATAACAGAGACCCTCCCTGGGCTACTCGGAGGCCCTCTGCCCTCTTTCGTGCCTATATCCCCACCTCCGTCCCCCAGCCTGAGCAGAAGTACACAAGATTATTGGTAAACTCACAGGGCTGTGTCATTCGTGGAGTAGGTTGATAGGGGATATTTTTAAATGTCAACTTTTCTTTTTCACCAGCATTTTGATAAAGTTTATAAACTTATTTTTGGGTCTTTCTCCTTCCTCATTACGTCATCAGACTTTGTTTTGTCTCCTCTCTTGCTTAGCATCTGGTATTTCATTCGCCATTAGATTTTCCTCATGAGGTATGGCGTATTGGTGTAAACTTTCTATTCTGTTTCTACTCGTGTTGGTCCTTAGTGGGTTACTCTGCCTGTTCGTTTTGAAATTCATCCTTCATCAGTATCACATGGGAGTGCAACTGGATGTAAAATATGCTTTATGCACCTATACTGCTATTTTCAGAAATTCAGTCTAGCCATAAAGGTTATTTTCCAAGCCCTGAATTAAGGTGGGCTTTGAAGTATCATGTTGATAGAAGAGGTGCCAGTGAAGGAGCTTTGTGAACTGATACACAACAGATAAATTGCATTTATTATTATTATTAATTTGAGGGCTTATAAGTCCATTTATACTAGGTTTCATAAACAATATTAATCTAGCTTCCTGTCTCTACAATCAGATGTAAATGACTCACTTAAAAAAAAAATATATATATATAAATACACACCCACACACATGCGTGTATTAGCACATCAACCCTGCCCCCTTGTGGTTGAAGACAAAGGCATGACATGGTTTAATAATGAAACCATGTTCCAAAATACAGATACAGTGAGGTTATTATTACTTAATAGAAAAGTTCTTTCCCTATTAGTGCCCCATAAGGAGCCAAAGAGTATTTTTGTTTGTGGATGATGGGATGGGCACCCATTTATTGGTATTGCTGTAGTTGAAGGAAATTATTTTTTTAGAGGTAGGGTCTCACTCTGTTGCCAGTCTAGAATACAGTGGTGCAATTGCAGCTCACTGCAGCCTCCAACTCCTGGGCTCAAATGATCCTCCCGCCTCAGCCCCCCAAGTAGCTAGGACTACGCTCATGCACCACCATGCCTGGCTCATTTTTAAATTTTTTGTAAAGACGGGGTCTTGCTATGTTGCACAAGCTAGTCTCCAACTCCTGGCCTCAGGTGATCCTACTGCCTCAGCCTCCCACAGTGCTGGGATTACAGGCGTGAGCCGCTGCGCACAGCCTAAGGAAATTATTGATGTTGTCAAGCTGCATTGCATTCACTGGTTCAGATTCATCACTGGCTAGGATGCTTCTGATTCTCTGAGATTTTGACCCGTCTGGAAGTTTCTGACCTGCCGTGTCTGGGAAGGTCATGAAGGCTTTCTGCTTTCATGGAAGGGGCTGGCCAAGAGGGCAGGGGCCTAGGTGGAACCCAAGCTGTTTTGTCATCTGGCCATGTTTGAAATCTTCAGCAAGCACTTGTCTGAACCTCAGTTTAATCAACTGAAAGTTGGGAGTAATAGCATCTGCCCTGCCTCACACCAACCTGTCTAAGGTTCAACTGGGGTTATTCTTTCAATTAGAACTCACTGTATGCTGTGCAGTAAGATGTAGGAAAAAATTAAAATAAATTTTAAAAATTCACTAGGCCTCAATCTAAACTAGGGCCACTTGGTACCAGGTAGTCCTGCTTAGAGGATGACTTATTAGGTTTGGGTTGAGATGAGGGTGTCTACAGACACTAAGGCCAAGGTGGCAAAGGAGGGCAAGTCTGGATTCCAGGGGCCTAGAATGTCCTGCTTGCTCCCCTCTCTGCGGAATGTTACCTGTTGCTGCCCTGTCTCTCCCCTGGACTCCTTGAAGCAGGTCTGACCCCAGAGGTCTGGGGAACAGCTCACAGCACCCAGAAACCTGAGCAACCTGGACCGGAGTGAATCTGGTATGTGCTGAGTTCCAGAAGCCTGTGGAAATCTGAGTTCTCAAGCCTCAATCTCATCACCTGTAAAATGGGGATAATATATGCCACCATCCAGGATGGCTGTAAGATTAAATGCAAGTGACACAAAACAGAAGGATCAGCAAATATTAATCCTTTTCTTTCCTCTTATTTGGATTAAAAAAAAACTATGTGAGGGAAAAGAGAGATTGGTTATATAAGTTTGGAGTTGAGACAGAGATACTAGATAAGTTTCTGCAATCTCTATTCAATCTTGTTCCAGGGTTGATGTGCTAATACACGCATGTGTGTGGTGTGTATTAATATATATATATGCATTTTTTTTAACATTTTGGTTACATTTTATATCTTTGCCTCTCCCTAGCAATGGTTAGAGCTATGCCTTGAAGTTTTGAGGTGGGGGGTGCCGTGTGATGAGTTCCACGTGGGCCATGGAGACTAGAAGGCTTACAGCTAGGCAGGGCCACTTCGTTGGCCGTGTGAGCTTGAGAAGGCTATTTCAGTAATGCAAAGCCTTAGTCTTCTCATCTGTAAAAGCATGGTAGTAATCAATAACATAGAGTTGATTGGAGGATTGAATAAGAAAATGCACATTAAACACTTGGCATAGAGCCTGGAATATACTGAGTGCTCAATAAATACTGGCTGCCATTATCAGTCAGCTGACCCCAGGCTTCCAAGCAACTTTGTGATTACAATTTTGCCTCCCATGTAGTTTGACCACAAGACAAAACTATTAAGTCCCTTGCATAGGTAAGTATGTCGTTGTAGATTAAAACATGGACATTGTTTTCATTTAGGATCTTACAGAATCTACCTAATGGTGATGTGGCAATTCAGTTTGGTGACTGAGTAAACAACTCAGAAATGACAAGAGTGGATCTTAGATTGTCATCCGTGTTCTCTCACTTTGATAATATATGCTATTAATGGAATATTCAACAACAAACAAATTCCAGCTGTAAATCAGATTAGTAACTTGACTGTATTTTAAGTTACATCAAAAATAAGTCTACTCTCCCTTCTCTACCACTTTATTAACTCAAAACAGCTAAGAAATACTGGGCATATTTTTCTTAAATATATACAAGAATCTTTTTCATATGCCATAAAATGTGGTATTTATATTTAATTTTCTTTTCATCTTACAGGTGTAAAGGGTCAAGTTTTTGATCAGAATGGAAATCCATTGCCCAATGTAATTGTTGAAGTCCAAGACAGAAAACATATCTGCCCCTATAAAACCAACAAATTCGGAGAGTATTATCTTCTTCTCTTGCCTGGGTCCTATATAATAAATGTAAGTATGTAACACTAGTTATTGTTATTAAAATATTATAGGACTCACAGTACTTACCCAGAAGGAATCTAAAGTAAGTCTAGAAGGTCCGAAAATAGATACATCAGGACAGAAGGAAAGGATAGTGTCAGAATTGCAACTGACAGGAGCTTGGGGAAGGTGGAAATGATAGGAACAAACTAGAAAAATTCATGTTTTTTTCCCAGCTGGCAATTATTTTTTTAAAATAGCCAAATCCTATTTCTTATGATATCCTTATGATTCAAAAATGCAACTTTATTAATAACGAGAACACTTAAGCAATGTAGCAAAAGTACTTCCCAGCTTTGTGGAATACCATTTAATACCCATTCCATGACACATAATTTCTACTATAAAAAATGGATTAGGACAAGTTCCTTAGAATTCATTATAAGTGAAATTTGATTCACAAATTTTATCACTGTATTAAGCAAGTGATAGACATATTTTGCAGCCCTATTTTCAATCAATGCAAATAAAATTTCAATTTTTAATTATATTTTAATACATACTTGAGTCATTTTATTTTAGGAGAAGGGGGCATGGACTACTTTGAACCTGAGTAGGTTTATATAAATGAACTAAATTAATACTGATTCAGTTGGCCAGGTTATACCTCTTTCTCTTTGATGAGACTTTTTCTGAGAAATTCAGTATTCTTCTACTTTGCTTAGTAGGTCTGATGCTAGTCACAGTAGTCATTCTGTGTAGAGCTACTCCTTTGGAGAAGGTAGTTATCTCTTCTGTAGTGAAAAATGACTTGGTACTTTATTATTTCATCTTTAGGGCGTAAGCTCCATGGCTGATCCTCTTAGTGCCTGACAGTAGGGCTCATCAATTGCTAACCCTCTTCTTGGGAACTTCCACCCCTGCTGAGAAGATGGATAGAGCTTGAACAGTCTCAATTTACTGTGAATCTTTGCCTACAAAGCCCTTTATTTTTGTTCTGTTTACTGTGATATTTCCATTCTATGGGGAGAAAAAGAGTTCTCCTTGTACCGAATCTAAATTATTCTTATGCAGTCCTATATATAAGCCACACCTTTATAGAATAAAGTTATGCATTGTTTGTTTCCCATTAGTTAGACTACCACAGTGCGTATTGACCACGGGGACGAGATTCAAAGATAAAACTGTGGAAGCTGAAATGAACAGCTAAAACACATGCCAGTGAATGGTTATGTCAATGTTACTCCCCCATCCTTCTCCCTCCCCACCATATACAATGAAAGCATTTCTAGTGGACATTGCGTATGGTTGGTTTAGCATTTGACTTATTTTTGCTGATCATTTCTACCACCAAAAAACCAAATCTAGCTGAAGATTCCGACTCATGTGAACAAAACTGGTAAAAACCAAAGCTTTTTAAGGGAACAATAGACTTGTACACTTCAAATCAGCAAAGAAAATGGAGTAAATTGAGGAAATAATTCTACTTATAAATGATCTTAGAATATCCAAGGAGGATATTAAGTACAGACATGGGACAATGGGAAAGAGCTAACTCTTTACCTTTGTGCTCCCTGAAAAATGCTGGTGGCAGAATCATTCTGCTGTCCCTTCCTCCTGACTTCCACCCCTTCCCCAGACAAGGTCCCTGTCTCTGTCTTTATTTCATGTTGTAATTCTTGGCAACAATATTAACAACAATGGTCTCTATCAACAGGCATTGGGTAACCCAGTGATCAGGACCGAATCTGGTACCAGCCCAGGAGACCTGGCAGATTGTGACAAGCTTTGCACAAAGGCTGTGTGTTAGTGGTGGATACCAGTGTTTTCAGGGTTAGCACCACAGAACATCTGAAATCACTCATGCAATTGTTTCTTGTTTCTTCTCAGGTTACAGTTCCTGGATATGATCCATACTTCACAGAGGTGTTTATTCCAAAGAAATCCCAGAACTTCAGTGCTCTTACAAAGGATATTCGACTTCCATTCCAGGGGCAATTGAATTCTATCCAAGTATCAAATCTTTCATGCCCAACGATTCCTCTTTACAGAGATTTGCCAGGCCACTCAGCAGCAACAAAGCCTAGTTTGTTCTTATTTTTAGTGACTCTTTTGCACATATTTTTCAAATAAAGTGAAATGTGAAACTCAACCCCCATCACCTCCTGGAATCAAGGATCACTCACGCCAGGTCACTGCAGCCCTAATTCCCTCTAGTGGGACCTCGGCTGGATAAACTCCATGGTCTTCCCGAAGGAGAGAAATGGATGTTTCCAAATCCTGCAATATGTGATACGTGGTGATAATGAAAGGAATGATTCAGTCTTGATCATGAACGGAAGACACCTGCCTAGCAAGTACTGCTTATTTACACTTAATCTTGAAGTAGCCTTAGAATTTTTAAGAAGTTAAACCTGAGAATCAAAAAAGAAGTCCCTGCAAGAAAAAAAATGAGCTAATTTTGTATAGAGAGAGCCAGATGAATATAAGCAGTAAAGATGAACATCTGTTGATCACCTGCTATGTACAGGACCTTGCCATGAGTGCTACATGTGGAGAGATAGTAAGTGCCATAGATGGTTAGTGCTCAGCAAAGGGAGAAATGATCATAGGACTGGGAATAGTTGTGCAAATGTTCTAATGAGAGAAAATAGGCAACCATGTCTCAGTGGCTCAAGAAAATACGGGCCCAGTGGGGTGTGTCTGCAGAGCCCCAAAGCAACAGGTCAATCAAGTCAGTCTCTCTCCCTCCAGAGCCCTGACCCTGCCTGTCTGCACCTGGGTGCCACAGTCCTATATTACGCTGACGGCCCCCACAGGTGTAACTCATGTCACGCCCCCACAGGTGCCCTCACGTCTCCCCTGCACCGATGCAACAGCTTTCTCGGCCTCCTGCTCCCAGACTTCGTCTCTTCAAGTGCATCCTCCACACAGCCCCGGGGGAGGGGAGCTGTTTGAAACAAAAATCAGCAACGGCTTGTGTTAATAGTTCGTCAATAGGTAACATGCTGTTTGTGTCCCCTGTATCTGGAATGCCATCCTGACTCGCTACACTTCCTTTTCCACGCCTTTTAAAACTCAGTGCTGGTATCAGCTCCACTAGTAGGCCTTTGTTGACCATCACCCCATTCAATTCCATTCCACTCCTCCAGGCATTCTGGGGTCAGGGGCCCTTCCTCTTTTCTCCCCAAAGTAAACTGATTATCTCTATTATTGGATTTACAACCCTCTGCTATGATCTTTGTTGTCAGTGCACAGCACAAACTATCCTGCGGACTATGAGTGCCGGCTGTGGGCAAGGTTTCGCGGCCGGTGAGCACAGAACCGAAGTGGTTAAAGAGAAAAAAACAATAGCAACTCTGGTCGGCAGATTTCTAAGTGCTGTGTATCACTCACGGAAAGTGAACTGCCTTGGTTCTTACTTTAAATGGAAAGTTCAAAGGATCCAGAAATAAAACCATACTGGGCTTGTACGTGGTGAGTGCTCGAGAACCATAAAAGAATGAGTAAAAACATGGGCATCTAGTAGGCATTTCTGTGCCAAGTTTATTCTACATGTACAAAATCATACATGTTAATATAAACAGAATTTGTAGTCTCTTTTTAAACCACTTATAAAATCTGGCAATAACCTGAGTATCTTGATCATTTTTATTTAAATAAGCAGTACTTTATTGTAGACTTGAATGTATTAATAGTAATATAATATTGCAGAAAATGATTTTGGCATATTACGAATGAAAGTATATGAAACTCAACTTGATTTGCCATCATCCCCCAAACAGTTTTTTCAACTGGGCATTCTGAGTTCTAACTTTTCTTTAGGATAGCAGTTTTTGAAGGGACATGAACTAAAATCTGAATTGGTTCATAAGCCTGAATGTAATTAAGGGGATGGGGGTGGGGTTATTTCTTATTGAAATAATGTTTTTAAAATCAGACATTTGTATCAGAATCAAACTTAAAATTATTTAAAGACTAAACAAAGCACCACCATAGCATTTTGACTGTGGCCGGACCAGGTCCTCAAACCTCTCTGCCTAACACCTTTCCTATTGCCCCCCTCCCTCTGAGACTGGTGGCTATATGCTCCTTGGGCTCCAAGTTTGGGTATAATTTCTTTTAGAGAGAAACCAACATAATAAAAGTTTTCAAATGATAATTAGAAGGCAGGAGCCCTGGGTTCTAATCCACCACACATTCAGTTTCTTTGTCTGTAAAATGAAGATCCCCGCTTATCAGCAATTCTGTGACTGTTAGAAACTGTGGTAGGACCTGTCACATTTTTGGTGCTTGCCCTAGTGGAGGGAAGATAGTTAACACTCAGATTGATAAATATTTGGAAGGTAGTCTAATATACCTTCTTAAAGACCAAATCTGTTGCCTCAGATATAAACAGAATTGACCTGAAAACTGAAACAATGGTTAGCTAGAATGATCATCTAATATTTAAGGAAACTTTCATAAAGTATTATAACATAGGTTTTTCTCACTGTACCTATTCAAATTTTGGTAAATGTTAACATGAATGAATCTAAATAGTGGGGAGCATTTTAGAAAATGTTAAGTCCCTGCAGGCAAGTGTCAGTGTTGATTTTGGTGCTTAATTTATCACATTCAGACTTGAACTGTTGGATGTATCAGAAATTATAAAAGCCTCTTCTCAACATTTTTGAAAGTCTTTCTAAGAAATCAATGTTGTGTTTTGTTCCAGGAGCAAATTTATATTTGTGATCTGTTTCTAAAAAGGGTATGAGTTAGTGCTATGTTTGGAAAGTAAAAATATCTAGTGCTGGGTTGGAAATATTTTTTCCTAGGAAATCCAGAAAAAATAAGCATAGCACATTGTCTTATTACAACAGGATAAGGTGCTTATTGAGAAGTTTGGTTGTTTTATTCTATATCATAACAATACATTCGATGTTTATTTTATGACAGATACTTTATATTTTCCCCATGACTTTAGATGGGAAAAGGGGAGAAAACAATGATGGGCAGATTGGTTAAAGAGCACCAAATGTTCACAATACTGTACCTAAAACAGAAGTTTGGGTTTGTTATAGACTTTATATTATACCAACTAATAAGCAGATATTATACTGTATTGCTCACAGCCCATTTTATCATACTTTACCATATGAACTACTCCACAGCCTTTTATAGATGTTTCATAGCTGATTTTACAAGTTTTCTTAGTGACTTTCTTTTGTACTATAATTAAGAATTTATTAAAATGCACAAGTTGTCAAAGACTGTAAAGTTTATTGGGGAGGGGCCACAACTACCTCTTAGTTTAGTAAACTTAGAATATTTCTGATTCTCAATAAAGAACTAATTATTCATAAAATAATGAATGCTGTTTCTTTCTATTACCTTAAAAATAATACTTATACAAGTGTAACAAAGTCCACTAAAGAGAACTGATTGCCACCAAATAAAGCCTAGGGAAGATCAAATTTAATGACCTTTTATGAGGCAATAATACTGCAACAACTCTTCAAAGTCTAGATAGTTCCTCCAGAACATTTCACATATGCTATATGTTATTTGTATCATATGTAATATATTCCAAATTAATTTATATCATGGGGCAGTGTGTGCCATGGACAAGATGATGGATGAAAAGTGTGCCTTCTGGCCACACAAAAAAATTTTGGAAAATTCACAATTCCAATGTTGTAAGAATTGAAACCATGCAGAAAATAAATGGATTTCCCAAACATACTTCGTCATGGAACCACTTTCTTAAATAATTTAGCCTTGTACCAGCTCTTTGAACTAACATTCCTGAATCTGCAAATACATTTTGGGAAATACTGATAGAGAAGTCTTTTGTTCTGAATAACAAACTTTATTAATTTTCAAGTGCTTCTGAAACACAGAGCATAGTACTGAACAAAGAATTTGCCTCCAGTCAGAACTGGAAAACTAACTGTCCTAACCCTCATCAAATGCAATTCCCTGATAATATCAACCTAGTCATAGGACCAAGGTTGGGCACAAGTTTACATCTGCCCTCTGAAACAAACTACATAATTATAGTTTAAATGAGACATGGCTGAGTAGGAAATGGCTGAATTACGGATAACTGTTTTTTTGAGACAGTCTCCCTGTGTTGCCCGGGCTAGAGTATCGTGGCGTCAGCCTAGCTCACAGCAACCTCAAACTCCTGGGCTCAAGCAATCCTTCTGCCTCACCCTCCCGAGTAGCTGGGACTACAGGCATGCGCCACCATGCCCCTGTGGTATTTTTAATTTTTATCTTTTTGAGACAGAGTCTTACTTGTTGCCTGGGCAGAGTGCATGGCATCAGCCTCGTCACAGCAACCTCAAACTCCTGGGCTCAAGCAATCCTTCTGCCTCAGCCTTCCAAGTAACTGGGACTACAGGCATGTACCACCATGCCTGGTTAATTTTTTTTTTAAATATTATATTTAGTTGACCAATTATTTCTTTCTATTTTCTGTAGAGACAGGTCTCGCTCTTGCTCAGGCTGGTTTCGAACTCCTGACCTTGAGCAATCCACCTGCCTTGACCTCCACAGAGTGCTAGTTTTTCTATATATTTTTAGTTGTTCAGTAATTTCTTTTTATTTTTAGTAGAGACAAGGTCTCACTCTTGCTCAGGCTGGTCTCAAACTCCTGAGCTCAAACGACCACCTGTCTCAGCCTCACAGAATGCTAGGATTATAGGAGTGAGCCACCGCACCCGGGTTTACTGTCATATTGATACCTGCAAAGTTATCTGTTTCAAGATACAGATACAGTTATCATTTAGTTGAAGCAAGTGCTATGGATATTTACTCTGTAAAGAAGCATGGCCACTCCCTCAAAGCCTCAACCATGCCACTATCCTAGAGTTCACCTAATCATCTAGATGAAATGTGCCTCCTAGAGAATGCCTCCCAATACCAGTGCGTAGGACTACCTTAGCTATACCTAAATCAGGCGTCCTCAAACTACGCCGCGGGCCACATGCAGGTATTTTTGCCCGTTTGGTTTTTTTACTTCAAATAAGATGTGTGCAGTGTGCATAGGAATTTGTTCATAGTTTTTTAAAACTATAGTCCGGCCCTCAATGGTCTGAGGGACAGTAAAATGGCCCCCTGTTTAAAAAGTTTGAGACCCTGCTCTAAACCCATGGCTCAACTGAG